GTTGTGAGTAAAAGCCCAAATTTTTCCCTGATAAAATTTGAAAGCGGGCTAGGGAAGGGGTGGGGGAAAAAGGAAGGGAGAAGAAAGAATGATTAAAAAAAGGATCGTGCCCAATGTAAGTCGGGGAGAAAAGACCAGGTGAGAATTGCGGTGGGGGAAGGGAAGCAGACGGGAAGATCAATGCAAGAGAAAAATGAAACCAGAATCAAAATGGGTTGGAGTACCCTGTATTTAAAACATGGAGGGGTGGGAACAAAAAAAACCCCTCCAACTGAATGACGGGGAATCACAGTGAGCCCCCCCCAGAGGAAATAAAGGGGTTTTAAAAAAATCCCCCAATAACAGAAGGGGTGGCGGTAAGGACGAAACAAGAAAGGCAACCCCGAATAGAAAATGCTCGGAAGGAGAGGATACAAAAAAGAGTGATACCACCTTCCCAAGTGGTAGGGCCCCTTTGCGGGTGAAAATGCGGGCAAAGTAAGAAAAAAATAGCTGATGGCATGGAATAACGGGGGCTTAGAAGAAGGGCACTTTCTTTAAAAGGGTCCCATCCCCCGAAAAGGATCTGAAGAATACAAAAAAAATTATATTTCCAAAAGGGGGGAAAATAGTTTCTGCAGATGAAATTTTTTGGTTCTTGAAAGCAAACACCAACAGGGAAAAAACTGGGAACCCAACATCTGAATTTCCACCTCAAATTACCCCTGAGGCCCGTAAAACCCCAAATTTGAAAATTGGGCCAGGGTTTGGGAAACCCGATAAAGAAAACCAAAAATCTAGAAAGGGACCTAGGGGACAGGGGGTTAAAAAAGGGGGCCCCAAGGGCAGCGGTAGCGGAAAAAAAATTCAAGCAGCAAAGGAAGGGTTTGGCGGGTGAAGAAAGGATTTGGGGCGAGGAGGGAGGAGGGGGAAAGAGAAGGAACGGGGGGGGGTTTCTTTCCCTTTTGAGGTTTGTCTCGGGCAATATTTTCCAGAGTTTCCTTAAAGTTTTTCCGAATAAAAGACGTTGCATGGGAGACAATATTGGGGGGGGGAAAGAGGGGGTGAGAAAGTTTGGAACCATAAGGGGCCCGGGACCGAAGTAGAGGTGGAAAAAAGGGGGTGGGGAAAAACGGGAAAAGGGAATTTGGGGGGGGACTGAAGAGGCAGAAACCCTGGAGGGGGCGAAGAGGAAGAAACGGGGGAGGGGACAGAGGAGGAAAAAAACGCACGGGAGGGGGGTGAACCCCCCCATTTTAAACAGACCCCGTGAGTGGGGAAGAACTAGGTACAAAAACCCCGGGAAGGGAAAAAATTTTGGAGGGGGAAGAAGTAAGGAGGTTAAAAGGGAATTTGAGCAAGGGAGATTTTTTGGACTTCTGAAAGTCCAAAAAATTCGGGAAAGTTTTTTTCCCCCAAGGTCTTTTTTAATCCCCTCTTGTGTCAGTGAATCTGTTTGGATGTCCCGTTGTTTGGTTTTCTTTTTTAAATTTTCGTGAGAACTTTTTGAATATTGTTTAAGAATTTTTTTTGGGGAAAATTAACCCCTTTTCAAAATTTTGGGTTTTTCATATTGGTGTTTTTCTTATCAAGGGATTTCAAAAATGCTCGGTTTACCAGGGGCAACCGGGCCGTTTTTTTTTTCGTGATCTGTTTCGTTTTTTAGGACAATTTTTGTTGTACAGCCCTTAATATTTTTGTTAAGAAAAATGTCTGTCCAATGGGTAAATCCCTTTTGGCATTGAAGAATTTCTGTAGGCCAGTCAACAGCCCTCTGGGTCCCCCTGGGGAAATTTCCCCCCTTGCTGGGGCCCTCGTCAGGAAAAATGCCAAAAAAGGGAAAAAGAGTTTTAAATGTACCACTTAAAACTCTTGTGAACACAATCACAAACCCAATTTTGGCATGTAAACTTTTGTCCACTGAGTGCATATTGGGGGTGTAATCAAAAACACTGCAGTTTTAAAAGGGGTTCTTTGCTTTTCTCTATGCGCAGGCCAGTGTCCCCAATTTCTTTGGGGTAACTGATGACAACAGTTTGACATCTTTTTTGCATGCCACCGAAATGCAAAAAATTTTTGGGCACAAACGCCTAAACCTCACCTCTACGGTGCCAGCATAAAACCGGGCATAGGCCTTACAATTTGCAAGCACGGGTGCCACAAAAAACGTCATTTTCATTTTCCCAAAAAAAATCACGAGTGGGGGGCTTGGTAACAGTTATCAGTTTTAAAATATATCCCCCTTCCCAAAAAGGGTATGGTTCTTTCTTTGTTCTAACCCCCTCACAAAAATGCCCCAATAATTTTCTGGTATTTTTTTTTAAATAAAAATTCCCCCTTCAAAAACAGCTACTGCAAGCCGTGCTGGTGACTAAAACACTGCAATTTTGGTGAAAAAACTTTGGGAATGTCTTAAAGGAAACGGGGGGTAAAAGGCCTCAAGGGGAAGAAATGTTGTACGACAGAGGTCCAGTAAACCTCAAGCTGGCCTAGTAGCATTAAAAGAAAAAGGGGAAAGCCCCCCCCGGGAAAAAGACTTCCCCATCCCCAAGCCCCCTTTTGGAAGGGGATTCCCCTTCAAAAAACATTAACCCCAAACCCAGCTCCCAAACCTCCCAGCCCAAAATAAACACCAAAATTTTCCCAATAAAGGGTAAGTGCCCATGAAACTGTCACGCCCTTTTTTAAATTTGGGTGTGTATTAAAATTAATATTTTCATGGGGTAAAATTTTTTTTTTTTCAAATTTTGGGGGTGTCAGGAACGGATTATTGTTTCCATTATTTCTTGGGGGGAAAAATTAAATTTGGGCCCAAATGAAATTTTCCCCCTAACGTTAAACTCTCGGGGATGGTTTAATAGCATTAGGGCGGGGGTCCATTGTGTATATAAAAATATAATTTTTATAATTATATATATATATATATAAAATATATAAAATATAAATAAATATAATAAATATATATAAAAAATATATATAAAAATTTATATAAAAATAATTTATATATTATATATATATATAAAAATATAAATATTATATATATATAAAAAATACACAATGGACCCTCGCCTAAAACGGGGATATCTTGCTCCTCCAAACTTACACTTTGGTCAAAACTTAAACAACACGCACAGCATATAAATAATACCATACATCAAAGGTTTTTCTCCTTTTTTCTAAATCTCTTTTTCTTTTTTATTTTTTCTATTGTCCAGGGGGAAGGGGAAAAAAAATTTTTTTCCTCCGTAAGCATGCGTGTCGTTGAGGCAAACTAAAAGCCGGGAGAAATTTGGGCTAAAACCCCCTTTTCTCCCTGTAACAATTACAAAAAAAGAGAAAAGAAAAATTTTTATAAAATTTGGGGTTTTGCTTAAATTTGCGGGGTTTGTAGGGGCGGATGAAAAGAAACAGAAAAATTGGGCGGGATTATATAAAATGAAAAGAAGTTGGATGTCCGGCCCTAGCGAAAAAAAGCTGAAGGGGGTAGGAGATTTTTCAGGGGGGGGGAAATAAAGGGGGATTAAATCTGGAGTATCTGGAAGTTAGAGAAAAGGAAAGGGGGTAGAAAGAAATTTTTTTAAATGATAAATTTAGGAAGAAAAAGAAATATAAATTTGGAAATTCAAGAAAAAATGTGGAAAAAAAAAAGGTTGGATGCGGGAATGGGTCATAAAACGTGAATGCCCCTGGAGAAAGAGAATCCCGAGGAGGGGGGAGAGTTTTTGGGGAGATGTTAATGAATGTATAGGACCCCTTTGAACCAATGAGAGAGAAATTTTGTGGGGGGGGATTTTAAAAGCTAAAGAAGGAGAAATTTTTAGAGAGGGGTGGTGGGTAATTTTGGGGGGGCCGGGGTTTAAATGATAATGGGACCCCTTTTAAATTGAACTTTGTTGAAAGGGGTTTAGTTAAAGGTAAAAAAATATTTTAGAAAAAAGAGGAAAATAAGTATACCGATATAAATTAGGGCAAAAAGGACAGTATTTTTTGGGAAAAATGAAAGGGTAGAAAAAAGACTGTTGAGTAGACTTCAGGAGTACATTTTTTAAAGGGGGCCCGCCCACGGGCCCACTAGAAAAAAAGGTAGAAGGGGTAAAAAGGAGAATAGAACATCAGGGAAAGAGAGAGGTGAAGGTTTATAAACTAAAAGAGGGGGCCTTAGGGTAAGATAAAAAACACTATTGGAGGATAGATGGGGTAATGAGAGCAAAAGGCAATGGGGTCCCGAAAAGGGTAAGGGGTAGGTTTAAAAAAAGTTTGTTAGAGTGTTCACAGAAAATTTTTTGGGTTTCAGAAAAAGGGGTTTCAGGAGGGAAAAGGACGATTGTGGAATGATGAAAGTAAAGAGAGTATAAGGGAGAAAAAGTTAGCATATGAGAAATTTTTTTCAAAGAAGTGAAGCAAGGAGGGGAAAAGTAAAAATGGAGAAAAAGGAGAGGTTAAGAAGTTGGGGAAGCCTTGGTTAAAAAAAAGAGCCCAAAAGAGGAGTTGGGGGAGATTTTCAACAAATTTTGTTGAAAAAAAAAAAAAATTTTTTGGGGTGAGATTAAAAAAGTTAAGAAGCCCAGAGAACAAAAAGGATTTGTCAGTTAAAAAAAAAGGAAAAGGGGAAATTATTAAATGGAGGGGTTAGGGTATTGGGAAGATGGAAAATTTTTTTGAGGGAAAAGTTAAATGTTTATGAAGAAAGGGGAAACCTTTTTGATTTCGTGTATAGGGGAAGGAGGGAAAAACATCTTTTAAAGGGTGAGGGAAAAGCCATTGGGTGTGGGGGGAAATTCGGAGGCAGTAGGTAAAATAAAGGGGGTAAACAGCCCGGGGTTTTATGGGATAAAGAAAGAAAAAGTTAAAAGCAGGGGGGATATATTTTGGGGTGGTTTTGGGGAATTGTTTTAAAAATGTAAAGGAAGAGGGGAAGGTAAACCCAGGGATTTGGCAAGAGCATGCATAGGCCTTTGTATAAAGGCCAAAGGGGGGAAAAAAAAGAGAGGCCCCAAAAAAAAAAGGGGGATTTGTCTGTTTTAGTTGTACCTGGTAAAATGAAAGGTAGGTTATAATTGAAAAAATTTGAGAAAAACGGAGAATTGGTGCAAATTAACAAGGAGGCTTTTAGGGAAAGGGAGGGGGGTGTGGACCAGGGTTTTTCAGTGAAAACATATAAAATGAACCCGTTTTTTAGGGGTAAGGGTAAAGGTCCTTTTTTCATTTATGGATTTGGAAAAAGGGGAAACGGGGGGAAAGGGGGGCAAAGTGCAGATGTTTTTTAAATGTTGGTTAGGAGGTTTGGGAAAATGAAAGCAGTGAAGAGTTTTTAAGAGGGTAGTGAGGCTCAAATTGATATTGGGAAAAAGGGAAATTTTTTTCCCATAAAAGTAGGGCCTTTGCCAAAAGTGGAAAAACACCGGGTTGTTTAATAAAATTTTTTTATTTAAAGGGGGTTTTAAGAGAAGTAAAGCGAGGGTCTTTGGGAAGAGGGGGGGGGGGGGGGGGAAAAGAAAAAGAAAACACACCAAAATGGGAAATTGTCACAGCTGCTCTTTGCGATGACACTGTGCTCTGGGAGAAATTTTGAAGAGAAGTTGCAGGAATTGGTGGTGAAATTTGGGAGGGGTTAAAAGAAGAAAATTAAAAGGGGATACAGAAAAGTAAAGGTTTTTAGGAAAACAAAAATTAGGTTTTGAAAGATTGAAAATCCCAAATTTGGGGGGAGAGTAAAGGAGGGGTGAACGTATTCAATATTTGGGGTGGACGTGCAACGGATGGGGGCTAAAGAAAGAGAGGTTTAATCATAGAAATTTATTTAGGGAAAAAGAGTGAGTGGGCACTTTGGGGTCTGTGGAGCAAAAAATTTTGGTTTCCCTTTTAGGGAAAGGGGAAAGTAAGGGGAGTAAATTTTACCAAAACCCTTATATGGGGGTGAACGTGGGGGAAAGGGAAAGTTGCCGCGAGGAAAAAGGCTGGAGGCCGGGGGAATGCATTTCTGAGGGGAAAGTGGGGTGAAATAATGCCGAAACTAGTTTGGAAATTTTGGAGGAGGTTTTCGGGTTAAACCCAAAAAATGTTTTCCCGAGGGCTGAGGAAGGTTTTTTGAGGTGGTTTTGGGCATTAGAGAGAATGGAGCAAACAGAAAAAGCCCTTTAAGAGTGTATCAGTCTGTAGGAAAGGGAAAAAGGGGGGGGGTTTGGGGGGCGGCCCAGGGAAAAATTGGAGGGGGGGGTAAAGGAGGGTTTTTTGTGGGAGGGGGGGGGGACTTTCCCGCAGGGATGCGTGGCGTGTTTTGATAGGAGTGAAAAGGAGACCCAAAGGTTTTTTTAAAACTTTACGTGCCCGTTGGAGTTTTGGCAAAGTAACATTTATAAGGAAATTTAGGGAAACCCCCTCAGGCCGGGCTTGAGTCCTGGGGAAAGGAATACAGTGCCTTTCACTCTGAAAGGGGGGGGTGTTTAAGTTGCAGTTTTAAAAAACTGAAATGTAAAGGCACCCTTCTGGGAAACTGAGGAGTGAATGAAAGGGGAAAGTTTTTCTTTTCGGGGCCCCCCTGCCCTTTTGGGAATCGGCCGTGTGATAATAAAAAAAAAAAAAAAAAAAATTATATAATATAAATATTATTTATTTTTTTTTACACACCGCCGTTCCCACCAAGGCAGGGTGGCCCCAAAAAAAAACTTTTACCATCATTCCCCTCCATCACTGTCTTGCCAGAAGGGGCTTTTTCAAATACATTTTTAAACTGCAACATTAAAAACCCCCCCCTTAAAAAGGTTTCAGGCAAAAGTACCCATCTCCCGGACTCAATCCGGGCCCCCTTTCCCTAAACCCTTTATAAAAGTTACTTTGCTCACACTCCAAACAGCACCAAATATTAAAAACCATTTGTCCCCCCATTCCCTCCCACAAACACCCTCACCAAGGCCCGCCCGGGAAATCCAAGGGCCCCCCCGGGACACAAACCTTCCCCTTTTCCCCCTCCCTCCAACCCTTTCCCAGGCCCACCCCCCACCCCGCCTTCCTTCCACTAAGACGAAACACTCTTTAAGTCATTCTGTTTCGCTCCAACGCTCCCACATGTCCGAACCACCTCAACAACCCCCTTTCCCCCCCTGGGCAACAATTTTTTTTTAACCCCCCAAACCCCTCCTAACTTTTCCCAAAATACGAATTCTCGCATTTTTATTTACACCACACATTCCCCCAACAAGACATCTCCACTGCCTCCACCTTTTTCCTCGCTGCAACATTCACACCCACGCTTCACACCCATATAAAGCGTTGGGAAAACTATACTCTCATAAAATTCCCCCCTTTGCCCCAAAACAAAGTTTTTTGTCTTTCCCCAGAAAACCCAAAAATGGGACCACTCACTTTTTTCCCCATCAATTTTTATGATTCACCCATCTTTCATAACCCATCCGCTGACACTCCACTCCCAAATACTGAAATACGTTTAACCCCCTCCAACTCTCTCCCTTTCCCAAACTGATATTTAAACTTTCATCTTTTTAATATAAAAAATTAATATAAATGTATACATAAATATAATACATTTAAAGCAAAACAACCCCCTCGAAAGAAAGAGAAATTCCAAGCGCTTTCCCGGGCTACTTTACATTGATAATGGAGTAGTCACAAAAGCGCTTGGGAATTTTCTATTCTTTCAAGTTGGGTTGTTTTGCATATTTTGAAAAACACCTTTTTTACTGTGATCTTTTTGGCAAATACATAAAAATAAAATATATTTTTAAAATATATATAAAAAAAAAATTTTATAATATATATATAATTAATATATAAAATATATATATAATAATATATAAAATTATATATATAAATATATTAATAAAATAAATTTTATATATTTTATATAGAATGCCCCAAAACTGGAAAAAACAAAATTTCAAAAAAAATTGGCAAAATGATTCTTTAAAACGCAAACCCCCAAAACCCCAACCCAAAACAGGAGTCATGAATTTATCGTCTCCCTCCTCATCATAGGTAAAGTTTTTTTTGTAAGGACCTGCCTGCATGGGGGCCCGTAGGCCTTCTACAGTTTTCCCCCCAAAAAATTATTTTTCCTTTAAAGACATTTTCCCCAAATCACGTGCGTCACATCCCACTCTTTCCCCCTTAATTTTATTAATGTCTTTCTAAACCCCTTTTAATTGGGGGTTTAAAAATGACAAGGGCCCAGGACCGAAACGATTTTTAATAAATATGTTTTAGGGTTTGCTTACTGCTTTTTAAACCAACTTGTCGGTATTTAAAAAAACCCAAAAGGGTTTTTTCCAAAATATATATATTTTTTTTTTTTTTTTTTTTCAACAAATCGGCCCCCTCCCACCGAGGGGGGTGACCCAAAAAAAAGAAAAAAAATTTCCCCCCAAAAAAAAATACTTTCACAACATTCAACACTTTTCAAACCCCACTCACACATTATCACCCCGGGTTTTGCAGGGGTGCTAGAAATACAACAGTTTTTGAAGCATACACATAAAAGGGTAAAACAACATACCCCTTTCCCAAAATGCCAATATCCCAAAACCCCCCTTTAAAGCGCAAGGGATTGGGAACTTCCCATTTCCAGGGGCTCAAGTCCAAATAAAATGAAAATAACCGGGTTTTCCCGAAATCCCTTTTACTAAAAAATTTCCCTGCCACACCCCCAACAGATCGTCAGGTCCCAAAGTACATTCCCTCTATCAATTTCAAATCCTTTTTTCCCTTTAAAACCCCACGCACGCTTCTTTAAGTCCAAGCCCCCCACCCACAAAACCCCCTTTACCCCCCCCTTTCCAAACCCCTTTTGAGGAAAACCCCTACCCCTCTTTTTCCCTTTCCCCTAAGATTTTTATGCTTTTCCCTGTCATTCTACTTTTAATCCATTCTCTCTAAATGACCAAAAACCCCTCAACAACCCCTCTTCTGCCCCCTGACTAATGCTTTTTTTAACCCACACCTTTTCCTAATTTTTCCCCACTCCGAATTTTCGCCCTAATATTTACACCACACCTTTTCCCCTTTGAAAAGGCAAAAACCACTGGGCCCCCAACCGTACCTCGCTGCTGCTTTTCCACCCCCGCTTCACATCCCCTATAAGAGTGTTGGTATTTAAAAAAAAATAAAAAAATTTTATACCCATCCCCTTTTTGCCTCCATTTGATAAAGTTTTTTGACGCCCTATATACCTCAAGCACCACCCACCTTTTTTTCCCCCAACAAATTTTATGAATTTAACCCAAAAACCCTTTATAAAACCATCCGCCGACCCGTCAACTCCCCAATATCTGAAAACATTCACTTTTTTCCAAACTCCTCCCCCCAAAAATTTATATCCAATTTTTTTTTTATCTAATCATTTGATACCCCCAACAAACCTTAAATCTTTTCTATGTTCACTTTTTAACTTTCTACTTTACACACAATTTTCAAACTCGCCCAAAAAAACCTTTTTAATTTTTTTTTTAAATTTTTCCCATAAGACCGTATCATCAGCAAAAAGTAACTGTGTCAATTCCCCCCCCCCTTTTGGGAAATTTATTCCCCCTAAAATTTTAAACCCCCCCCCTCTCCCCCAACACCCTAGCATTTCTTCTTTTAAAAACCCCCCTCTATAAATATATTTAAACAACCCCGGTGACATTTCACATCCCTGTTTTAAGACCTACTTTTACCCGGGAAAATAAATTTTCCCTCTCTTTTACACACCCTAACCCAAACCTCACTACCTCATTTAAAAAACCTTTTCAGCATTTATAACTTACCCACCTAATTTCCCTAAACTTTCAAACATCTGCCACATTGCTCCTCTACCACTCTATTTATATGCCTTTTCAAATCCATAAATGCAATAAAAATTCCCCACCCTTTTTCAAAAAACTGGTTTACATATATTTTTTCAATGTAAACACTTGATCTCACATCCCCTACCCACCTGAAACCCCCCCTTGCTCGTCCGCCTTTTTACATTCCTGTCTTACCCTAAATTTCCCCCCTTTAATTATAACCCTACCGTATTTCTTTTCCTGGTATACTCC